ACCGCCGCGGCCGCCGCCGTGGCGATCAACAGCTACAAAGTGCAGGAGTACAAGGACTACTCGCAACCACTTCACGTGGACTGCAGCGTCGAATACGAGCTGCCGAGTCAGGCTAAACCGCCCCCCGGCGGCGGCGAACCCCTCCTCATGATCCATCCTTGCTACTATCGACGCGCGGAGCGCGAGAGGAGGAGTCCCTTCGTCAATAATCTACCACCGCCGGCGGCGCCAGCAACGGCGCCTATTGCCGCTTCCCGTAGAAGCGGTCGCAGGAACGCCGCAACAGCATCAGCAGCCGGTGTTACAGCCGTGACAGCCGTCGCAAGCGCGGCCGCGGTTTCCTCTGCCACGACGACGGTTGTGCCGCCGTCGAATAACAATATCGTGTCCTCCAACGTCGTGTCCACTTCCGTCGTGTCGCCAGCGACGTCGATCGTATCGTCCACGGTCGCTGCGGAGCCCGACACCGGAGGCCTCGTGTCCACGAGCGGTCAGATGTCCGCCGTTACGGCGGTGTCATATCGCGCGGCGCTCAACGTCGCGGCCACGTTGTCTCAGCAGCAACAGCAGCAGCAGCAGCAGCAATCACAGCGGCGTCATCATATCCAGCAGCAGCAGCAACAACAGCAGCCGGGTCATCATCATCACCATCACCATCACAGGAATCATACTCATGCTCATCAGCAGCCACAGCAGCAGCAGCAGCCGCAGCCGCAGCATCACACTCAGCAACAATCGCAACAACGATCTGTGACACCAACGGCTTCCGGTACCGCCGATCTCATCTCCGCCGATGAGAAAGCGGTCATATCAGGTATTTATCAGCATTACTTTCGCGCGATGCGCGCTAACAGTCACCAGCATCGCCAACAGCAGCAGCGTACCACCACCACTACCGCTCATCAGCTCCATCACCAAAGCGACCGAAGTTCCTCCTCTTCGTCATCGGTCACGTCTCCGACATCTGCGTCGATTTCTGGCATTTTACGTCAGACTTATCAGCAGGCGTACAGTAACATAGCGGCCACGAGCTCGAATTCGAACAGCCACCATCGTGTCGCTACGTCGTTGGTTTCGGCGGTCGCGCATCATCCCTATAGACGGCCGTCAGCGACGTTGCTTTCGCGGACGGCCTCGCATATCGGCCAACAGGCATCCTCTTCCTCGTCATCATTCTCAACGTCATCATCATCTTCCTCATCCACATCAATTTTCGGTGCTTCCAATGGCGTATCGGCCACGACCGGTGTATCCAGCGTATACGCCAGCACGATACACAGGCATCACGCGACTTCCTTACACGCTCTTCAGGCCGCCGCTAGTTTCTACGAAACGCCAAGCTATCACGCTCTCCTGCCGCAAAGTTAGACGGCATCCAGGTATTATTCGGGTGGTTACGCGATATTGAATGCTCACGCGTGAATAACAAGATTAGCGTTTATTATGCGCGAGCCGAGGGTTTACGTATATAAACGCGACTTGAGTCTCGACCGAGAGATCGCGATTTTTATTTTTCGCATTTGAATTTCGATTTCTTATCATCAGGACAAAAGACGTTAAATTACACGCGCAAACTTGATGAAGATTGACAAAACATTGAGTCAAAAAAAAAAAAAAAAGACAGAATTGGAGCACGGCGTTTCTCGTTTTTCAAACGTCGCGTGTCAATTTAAAAAACTGTTAAAAATTAAAGACAATAATATTTTGCTATGTACAAGTTATTATTTTTATTTTTTTTTATGACGATATTTTTGACATATATAATATTCGTTGATGTTACTAGATTGATCGAACATTCAAACACGCGTTTGCAAAAGCAGAACAAACATTTATACGATGTGCTCGATTTTCTACGAAAAATCGGGAATTTTTCAACGTCTCTTTTTTTTTTTTTTTTTTTTTGTTCGTAGCTTTAAGTCTCCGTTAAGTCTCGCGAACCGATATTCACGCGCAGAAAAAAAAAAAAAAACGTCGTAATACGCGTCACGGTCTTTGGAAAGGCTTCTTTGGACGACGTCGTCGGACTTCGTGGATTGGGGGTGAAAAATGAGTTCGTTCGTGACGCGCGTCGTTGTGAGGAAAAGTTTCGACGTGTTTCCGACTCAAAGTCTCGAATGAAGACCGTTAGTCTTTTTTTTTTTTTTTTTTCGACGAAAGGAGAGACGAACGTGAATGCTTCCGTTTCGTAAAATAAAATCGTCAGATTTTCAAGAACCACCACCTGTGCTTCCCTTATTGAACGAGATATCCACGCGTTATATCCTTTCTTTCGTCTTTCGCCATTCCCCTTTTCATTGTTCCTCGTATCTTCATAAGCAAGCTGCCTGTCCGCTGTGGCCGAGCGATAGTGCACACCACGCGCATGCAATCTTTATAGTTCACTACTATTATTAACTCGGCCTTAAAAAAAAACAAGTGACGTAAACTGCCTCAAATTATTAACATATATATATATATATATATATATGTATATGTATATGTATAGTAATGTACAAGAGCGGCCCGGAAACGGACGGCGCGGTCAGATTAAGTGTCCGGGAAGAGTTGTGTGCGAGCGGGACTCGCTCTGGCGAGGTCGGTTTTCGCCGACTGTGCGGCGCAATTTCATTCACCAGTAGAGAGAACGTACGACGCTTTAAAAAAAAAATTTGTAAATAATATTAATCCCTGAAGAAACATCGATGACCTCGGGATCTCCGCTCGAGAATGGATTCGCGTTCGTTTGGATGTGTGCGTGTGTGTGCGCGCGCGCGCGCGCGCGTATGTATGTATGTATGTGTGTGTGTGTGCGCGTGTCGCCAAGCGCCGCCGTTCGCAGCCGGGTCATTTTGTACATGTACGAGCTAGAGCGCCCTTATTACTGACTGAGAAAAGCCTATATCGTGTAATGTATAAAATTTGAATATTTGCAAGTATGCTGTGTATCGTTTAAGCGTGTGAGATAGTTCATATGCGACAGGAGAGAGACGTTCTTTGTTTTTTTGTGAGAAAGGTCCGAGACCGTTCGGCGAGATCGAAACAACACACCGCGAATTAGACGCGAATTGAGCGAAAAATTCGTTTACGTTATAATTTTGTTCAAATGCATATTTTAACAAACCGAGATGCCAAAACGCTATTTTTAACCGAGTACTGTAATAACAAAGAGATAATTAAGTACTCATTTATATATTTTCAACCGTAATGTTTTTTCCAAAACATTCAGTTTTATCGACCTCGTACGTAGCGAGTATAAAATCTGTACGAGGTGTCAAATGGTATCGAAAATATTTTAATAACATTTTAATGAGTGTAGTGTATGCCGCATTCTTCCACATCTGACAACAACTTTGACTTTCATTGTGTGTGTAACCGTAATTAAGAAATAATTTCCGAAGAGTATGTCAGATGATGATGGAAGTGCGAGAGAACTATTGTGTGAGGCGCAAGAAGCGGCCCGCGGGATGATGACGGAATCGGCGAAAGGTTAATGACGCGAACCAACGAGTGTTGCTCCGGCAGAAGGTAGTAAAATTCCCTTGGGGGCCTCGGAAAAGGGTCTCACAATCAAGGAGTTCAGTTTTCTGTTCTCTCGAGACGATCGATTGAAACATACGTAGAATTCGTCGAAGGTATCTCGACGTTTTTTTTTTTTTAAGCCTCTCGCCCGTTCCGCTTCCTAATTAACATCGTTACTTTAATGAACATTTAAGCAATTCATTTCCTTGCTGTGCGAGGCGGTGCGAGATATCGCTATCGCTACTCCCGGACAGAGTTAACTCCCTCTTGCGGAATTACGTTTCGATTTCGTTGAACGGAAGTGCGTATCTGACGACGGCGAAATAGCGCCGTATGTTCCTAACTGACGAGAAAGGGATTACAGACACACACACGAGAACTGTGAGAGAAGAATAAGAAGGGAAAGAGAGAGAGAGAGAAGAAAAATCAATCGCGAGTACATATAACGTCGATTCAACCCGGTCATCATCGAAAGATAACCGATAACTCCTTGCTTATCGGCTCGCCTGGATGTGCGATGAGATTCAGAGAAGACACGTTCGTGGTTCTATTTGATAAGATCATTCGAGCAAAGGAGAGAGAAAGGTAGAAAAAGAGAGAGAGAGAGAGAGAAAAGGAGTTCTCTTTGTACTTCTCTCTCTTTCTGTTCTCTTCTTCCTTCTCTCTTGTTCCCTGTGAAAGCGGATGGGGTATATGGAGTCACTGTGCGCGGCTCTGATGCGGGTTTCAGGATTCACGCACGGCTTTAAAACCCGGATCGCACGACGCTTTTTTCGGCCCCTGCCCCGAGGAAAAAAAGAGCCACTCCGCGTGTATACGTGTATATATATATATATGTATGTATGTATGTATATGTCACGTGCGATTATCCGGCAGATGTACGACTATATATATCTTTTTGCAACAGAGAGAGGACAATGGCTATGGAGTTTCGCTATTTGCAATGCATATACAGAATTCACGTGCGTTTTTTTTTTTTTTTCAAATTAGAACACTAATATTCGACTCGCCAGGAAATGCGAAATAATATTTGTTGATAAAATCGAAATTTATCTCTTAAATGTTTTATATTTTGTTTTTTTTTTGTTTCTATATCAAAAAACAAATAGAGAGATTTTATTTTATTTATTTTATTTATACATATTTATTGATTTATTTTATTTTATAAAATACATATACTTTATGTATATGTTGTAAGTAAGTATATATATATGCACATTAGATGCACACATATCTGCAGAGAATATATATATATGGTTAGAATATATATATATATATATCTTGAAAAAAAACTTTTGAAAGTAAATATGCTAAGCGTATTAAAAGTTTATATAATTTGACCTTATCTCAACGATATTGAATATTGACGATTTTAAACATGTGATAAGTCTTCTGCGAAAAGTTCTATTGGGAGGACTCTAAACTCTTGACGAAAGTTGTTGCAAAGGCGCGACGTTGCAACAACTTGATGCTTGTTTAAATGAACGTTTAGAGAGGAGAAAAAGGGGTTAAAAGAACAATTTTGTGCAAAAATGAACACATAAGCGTTATTACCAGCCATCCTAAAAATTTTGGCTTGAACCGGCTCTTTCACCATGCCCTTTCATTAAGAAACGCATATCTGCCGGGCGCGTCGCGCATGACATGGAAAAATTCGATCGAGCGTGACGCAGGGTTAAGAAAAAAGTGCACCAGATCCCGGTGCAAAAAAGCGCTGCGTAATCCGGGCTTAAACGAGAAAGCAGCGCGCGGTGAAAATGGCTGATCTAAAACGGGCGAGAGAGACCGAGAAAAAATAAAATTTCATTCCTACTACGCCTGTGTAATTTCTATGATATTTTATAGATACGTCGAGATATAGTATTTTTTTAAATTTTTTCCGTTTTATATATGTATATATGATAATATGCGTGTAAGTAAAAAAAAATAAAGAAAAAATAAATAAATAAAAAAAAAAAAAAAAAGAAAAGAAAAACGGCGCGTGGGTTACACTCCTCGTTTGCAGAAATTTTATTCTCGGGCTCTCCTGTTAATAAATGTTCGAGAAAGACCGACTCTCAACAGCGAAGAACCGCGCGAGATCCTGTCCAGAATCGCGCGCGGCCCCGGGATTCGTCTTGGTTTCCGTGCACCGCTGAAAAATGATTGCTGAAGGGTCGGACCCCCGGGGATGAAGCTGTTACGCACAATAGCGGCGAAGCGCTCCTTCACACATTCATTCGTTCGTTCGCAGAAAATTCACGAGCGTGAATCGAACCGCACGCACTCCCGGACATATTAAATACTCCGGAGCGTTCATCTTTCGAGAAAAGATGATCACGCGCGAATATAAATTAATTTATGCATTTACGCGTGCTGCTCGATATGCTTACTTCGTGATACGCAATGTGCCATTTTCGAGACGGAGGATAAAAATTCTGGAAAAAAAAAAAAAAAAACTCGGCGATGAAAACGCGATTATGACTTTGAGCGGGAAGGTTCGATGCGTTTCCATCGCGTGTCTCGCGAATTGTGTGAACACGAAAAAAAAATAATAATCTCCCGTATGTGTCTCTGTCGTTCGGAGCGAAAGAAATATACGGAGGTTATTTCTCTACACCTGTGCGAAACGCTGAAATATCGCGTTTTGAAATATGGTTTTCAATTCGCGATTCAATTTTTGATTGTTTTCTTTTTTTTTGAAGTCAGCGACGGATGAAGATTTACTCGCGCGGTGCACACAGTGGTGATCGCTCGTACGTCATTGATTTCGATCGTATATCAATAAGTTTATGTCCCCACTACGTAACAAAAAAAAAAGTCGAACGCGATGTCGAGCGGCCGGAATCTATCCCGGCTCTTTGTCTTGCGCGCCTCCTAATGCGCCTGTTTGTTTTTTTTTCTATCTTTGCATAACGAAGATCTGCCTAAAGTTGAGAGATAAAAATCTGCTGTCCCGTGTGTACGGCAATGAGCGTGCACTTCCTCCGAATCAGCGACGTCGCGAGCAGATCACCGCTGTATCTTCGAGTTTTGCAATTGTTTCTCTCGGTTTTGGAGAGCAAAAATTATAACAAAAGTTTTTTACATCTATTTTATATAGTTCACAGACAGAAGAAGATTCGAATGCGAATTCCGATAACTTAAACCCCATTAAAATATTAAAAAAAATCCTTTTACTCAAACTGAATTGTGCGCTGTGTAAGCAATTTTTGTGGTTTACCGGATTTTGATTTGCCAATAACTTTCCGATCAAATCATCTTGTGATAAATTTTTTTTCAACCGCAAAGCTAATGCAAAATTATATAACAAGGACGAGAGAAAAGTGTCTGTTGAAGTCTGAATTTTGAAATTACATGATATTAAAACTGCTCTGTAAGGTTGTCTCGAAGTACGTCAAAGGATTAGAGAGCAAACGACTGATGTGTGCATTTGTGTACGTATGTGTGTGTGCGTGCGTGCGTGCGTGGATGAACCTGAGGGACGTTGCCATCCCCTCAAGAGCCGTGTATTGTATACGAGGTGCGTCGACAGAAAAAAAAAAAAAAAGTGCGCACGCGAGAAAGAAAGAGAGAGAACGAGAACAAGTGAGAGCGACCGGTAGTCGTACACAACCAACGACTATTCGCACTAGCCGTCTGTGTTATATGGGCTCGAAAAATATACGACAATAAGGATTGTAGCCGGCCGGAGAGCGCGGCTCTATACCCGTACCCCCATGAGGAAGAGAGTTAATCGACGGACGAACGCGAACGAACGAAAGAACGAACGGACAAGGAACTCCCACGGCTTTTATGGCTCTCTCTCCGCTCGTAAAAATATACCTAAGGCTTTTTCCGTGGAACCCGGAGCCCCACTCCTCGCCCTCATCCCAACCAATCCCTCGATCTGCGTTTGGAACCCTCTTTCGCGGATACGCTCGGCCCAGAAACTCAGAGACAAGGAGAGGAGGAGGGGAGCAGCGACTGTAAGGGCTGGGACAACGAAATCCCGGATACGTGTGTACGAGGGTTCGTCCTTTATGGAGAACGAGATGGAAAGACGTAAGGGAAAAAGAAAAAGAAAGAAAGAGAGAGAGAGAGAGTGTGTGTGTGTGAGAAAAAGAGAGAGAGAGAGAGAGAGAGACAGAACGTTAGTCCACAAACCCAAAGAGATCCTAAGTTTCGTTTGGAAAATAGCAAAGTGACAGCGCGGGTAGAAGTAGATTCAGATGAGAGTGTGTGTTGTCTAAAAATGTTATGACTTAACGAAATCCCGCAAAAACACTCTGTGTATTTTTTTTTTTTTTTTTTTTTTTTTAATTTCCTTACCTGTAAAAGGTAAAGAAACGAAGAAGCAAGTCAACCTCCGATCGGTAGATATGTGTATAGATAGATACGAGTAGGAGGAGGGGACGCGACACGGGACAAAAGAGAGAAACGGTCTCCGAGGAGATTATTTCAATTCCGTAATCTTGACGTTTTCTTTCTTCACATCTTCCTTTCTTCGCGTCTTTTCCTCTCTGTCTTTGTTCTCCCGGGATGCGTGTGTTGCGGATTGTGCCTCCGACGGAATGATCGCTCGCTCGGATAGAATGATCGATTATGTGGAACAAGATGAATCATTAGGGTTGCCCTCCCGAAATGTTCGAACGTCAAGAACGAGAAACACGGAACGTTATACATTACGATTTTTGTTTGTTTGTTTGTTTGTTCGTTCGTTCGTTCGTTCTTAAAGTGGCATTGAAAATGCTCGATCAAGTTTCGCGATTGTGATGTTTCGTGATTTCGCGAAATGTAATTATTTACACGAAACGAGCCTTTTTGGCGCTTCGCCAGCATTTTTTCCCTCACGCGTGTAATATATAATAAAAAAAAAAAAAAATAAAAAAAACACACAGAAAACTTTTTTGCGCAAGACGGATGTTGTGCGTTGTGCTGCAGGTCGCAAATATTAACATTTAGCTACTGTAAGC